CGAGGACGGCCCAGCGCTACCACCTCGCCTATCGACAGTCAATGGCGCCTGAAGCGGGGGCAGATGCACCAGAAGGACGGAGCTGGAAGGGCTTTTATGAGACGTCAGAAGGCAGGCCAGAGTTAGAATCGACAAAAAGATGGACAATCAGCCCGAGGGAAAATCAAGTAAATGGCGGTGGGGCCGCGGCTTCGGTTTCGTCCAATGCCAAAGTCAACGCTTCGGATAGAACAAAAGGTTCAAGTAAGCCCATGTCAGGCGGCAACGTGGGCAAAAAGTGTCCGCCAGAGAAAGCCTTGACGCCGATGCCGTCCATGTTGCTGGCCCATTCTGGGAAGGCACTAAAGACGGCGATTTCTTCGGCAACCCCAGCAGTCCGCCTGTTCTCACCGACGCCGAAACGACAGACGAGTGGACCGAATTCTGACACTCAGAAGCCAGGTTTGGGTCATAAACAGGAGACTGGGCCCCAACATCGACAGTCTGGCTCTCTGTCCGACTGCGATCAGGACAGAGCCGGCTGTGAGGCATCCAGTACCCCGGCTTCGGCCACGTAGTAACCTCTGAGCAAAGCACCGAGTCACCAGATACATTTGTATAGTGTGTTAAACATTACAATTTATACATCGTGTCCATGTCTTTTGCTGAAGTTGCCCGCTATTCAGTAAACGAGGAGAGAGAGCATGTACATCTGATGATTGTCTTAAAGTTGCTAGACTAATAATACTACTAAGTATTCAAATCTATTATTGTATCAAGGCGAAGCAGTAGAACTACCCAATGTAGAAAATGCACATCTAAGGTGTATACCACATTTTGGAGAGGTTTAATACGCAAAAAATGTGTAATCAATTTGCGTTATGGGGCTTGTGTCATTGCTAGCCAAAGTAAATACCAACTGCCCAAAAAGTCAGTTTTGGGCAAGACTTCTTGGCATACTTGGAAATACTTTATTCTCATTGGTATCTTCACTTGGGCCCAAGCCGAAAACATTTGTATTGAAAGGAAAACACATCGCTCCCAAAGTGAGACGAAATAACACACCGCACCACCTGGGCTCTATTTCCGTTTGGGGTGCTGATGATTTTCATGCAAGACTCACTCAAATCAGTGTTGAAAAATTCTATTATCATCCATTCCTCACTTTATGCGAACTAGGGAGATTAAAACTATTATACGATTTATAGTATTTCATTTAACTGTGATGGGAGGAATGAAAGTCGAAGTTCCTATAATTACTTGGGCCAAAGGCTCATGATACCTTTGCATTTCACATGGCAATGTCCACAATGAAGTTTCTTTTTCCCAGGTGTAATTCAGTTTCGGCTTCGCCTGGGTCTGATCAGAAACCAAACGGTTTCGAAATCGGATCGTGTGAGTCGAGTAGGAAATATTCCATCATATTATGACATGTTCAAAGGTACAACTGGGTTAGTGGGTAGATTTTACTTCCAAGTCATTCCAAATAACTAAACTGTTTATGATA